TTATTTTACTTTCGTAAACTCTCACACGGTCTGTCAATATGCTTAACGTTTCATGAAGTACATGAATCAAGACTCATGTACTTTGATCAATATATATAATAGAAACAGAGGACATAATAAAAAAATTACCACAGCATTGCGCACTTTTGCCATATACAGTGAGACATTTGTTGATATCCTTGAACATAACTCGGTATCTTGTTGTATTGATGAGATAAATTCCGCCCTGCAAAGGGGTCAATTTTGAAGATGGGTGATAAAGGACATATATAGTTTGAGAGAAAAATTCACTCCCACTCTACAACTTTTATTGTCTTGTCACGTCACAAATTCTTAAACGCACTGTTAATAGCAACCCTTAACTAAGGTCTACTGACATCTCATTTAAACATGAGATTTTAAATTAACGAAACTGATATGCTTGCCGCGTGGATTTCTTGGTAGAGCTGAAATTGCATTCGGGCATTAGTACCATCAACCGCTGCATATGTTTTATCGCGGGAACCACGAAAACTAGAAAATAAGTTGGAATGCGAATTATTCTCTTCATTTAATAGTTGATTGCTTTTCCGAGCTACTTTGAGATCTTATTATCGAATTTTCTGTTAAATCTGATTAAAAAATCAGAAACTAGACACAAGTGCTATTCACTAAAAGTGCAAACTATGTTAATAGTAAGACGAAATCCGCACTTTTTTGATCATTTTTTATAATTGTTTTACTGACAACAGACCTTGAGACTCGTTTTTATGATATGTTAAACATTAAATGAGCTACCTGAATCCAAGAGCAACTCGTCAATGCAACGCCCTATGTAATGCCGCCGCAACTCTTCCATTGGTGTGTGTTCTAACACACTGAAATGTGCTTCTAATGCTGCATCGACCATCTCCACTGGCAAAAGTTCATCGTGGAATAAATCCCATAACAGCATAAGAGACTTTACGGTTAACTCCTGAAAATTTCTGAACAAACTGACGGCGATAATTATCGTACTACTTACTGTCATGGTACAAGCTTTGAAATTATTTTTAAATAATTCTCCAATATGTGAATCCATCAAAATGAATCACAGAAAATACAGAGTGCACGAATATAAACTTTTCATTCAATCTTTCTTTAATACTCTACCACTAATTATTCACAAAAAATGACATTTCAATGACCATTTCTCTTAAGAACAACACTTTTAGTCGTTTCTTAGACAACAGATTTTCCAAAACCTGATAACAAATTCTACAAATAAATGTTCGTCTGAATATATTGAATAAATCTTTTCCGCACATAAATTAGCTGCTCTATATTACTAAGCATGATCAGTTTGAAACGAAAAAATAGCACACTCGAATAACCTTTTCAGTTTGGGTATTAAAATCGAGGCCCAAACGACGAAGAAGATCTAGCAGAAGCGTTCGTTCTCTTGATGATGAACATCCCCAACTCTCCTGGAAAAAGTTGTGCTCTAAAAATTTCTCTAATTTCACACATGAGACAGTTTTGAAAAAATTACGAATTTTCCATTCTTTGAAAAGTTTTTAATCATATGTTACGAAGAAAAAAATCGAAATTTACCTTCATTTGGTGAAATAAATGTTCCTGTAATGTACTACTAATAACTTTGGCCAATTTCGCAATTAATTCATGGACATTTCGTTGAATAACATCGTGCTTTTCACGCTGTGCGTTCCACAAAATATCCATGTCATTAACTGTTATAGCATCCCTTTCAATTAGAGCTCTGAATACTCTTTCTAATCTGAAAATCCTAATATGTCAAAGACAATATACACATCTCATGTTAATGTATCATAATCTTACCAATCACGAAAAATATTTCGCAGTAATCAGCGACATGACGATTCGTCCAAAACATAAATTTATCTTTAATACAAAGCGAAACACATACCTTTCACAGTATGCTGGATGATGTAAATTGTCACGCACCAAAATTTCAATGAAGTGCTGGTTCCCTAACCACTCCTTCAATTCTTTCATCGATGTCAATATTTCCTGCTTTAGAGTAATCATTGTTACAAAATGAAATTTGTTGTGCCCATTCAGTTTACAAAAATAATTGAAAATTATAGCTATTTGTAAATATCATTAGCACAAATTATGAACACATATAGAAGCAGAAAAGTTGCAAATAAAGCATAAGAACTATTTTACCTGTCGAAATTCAGAAAATATATTAAGTAAAGATACATGTAACTCCTCTAAAGCAGCTATACGTCCAGCAAAAGGTGCAACTTGCAATACTCTGAAGACTTGAATAGTGAATATGTAAAAAAATTAAAAATATTACACGTCATGAACAGATACTTCACTTCTCAAAAGTTTCAATACTATATCAACTATCTAGCGCTTTCCACTATTTTTGATCACAACTTTGTAAAACACGTAGCAAAAGCATTGAACTTGTAATTAAAATTTTTGAAATAATAAAAAAATTAAATCCCCTAAATTTTTAAGAAACATTTTTTCGTACCGTAAAATATAGCGCAAAGAAAAAAACTGAGTTTGCCGCCTCAAACTTGCCATCTCCGGATTAGTTCGAGTTAAAGTAAGAAAAATTCTTATCAAATCAATGTAAGGCGATTCATTAAAATCGTTTTTCACTGTCTCGCATTTTAATTCCTCATCATTTATTTGTTCCAATTGTGTCAACACTTTCTGCTGAAAATAATAGTTTTCAAATGCAATCCATTTAAAATAATACATATTCTCTTCAGTCAATACATAGAACTAAATTGTAACATGAAACTAAGAATTTAGATAGTAGTGACAAAATTATTTCGACTGAAGCATTTATTTAATAATTTAAATTATTGAAAATTTTCTATCACACATGCCACTTCCTTTTTTAGGGATTTTACATCTTTTTTTCACTAGCACATAATACAGATATTGGCTCTTTTTTCTTCTCAGCATAATAATCCTTCATTGTTTATCAACAGCTTAATCATATACTATATCAAATTTGTAATCTGAACCTTATACGGAATTTAAACTTACAATGACGAAACCAAATGTCTCGAACACAACTGTTGGTTTCAATAATGATAAGCAAGAAGAAAACGGTCGACACCACATAATAAGATCAGTAATTTTAGTATCATGATTAACATTTTTTTCCAAGAAACTTTTCATCAGCGAAAACCCACCGATCCTTCCAAAATAATTTAAAAGCAACAAAAGCCATAGTTGTAAAACTTTCTGAAAATCACGGCGTTTGCAAAAAAACGCCTGAAACATAAGGAATAAAAAAAGCTATAGCACATTAGTTTTGTTCTAGATTCACTACCATTATTTTAGAAAATTATGATGGCGAATATGGAATAAAACTAATAAAAAGAAGAATTGCTAAACACAGAGTAAACTTAAAATCAATGATCAAAGAGGTCTGTACATTATGACAATATCTATTAAAATTGAAATGAAGGAATGAAAGCAAAAATTATATCTTGAACGCACTGAATTATCAATTTATACAACACTCAGTTGAAAATTTTCCAACCTGATTCACTTCATCAACTGAATTAATGGAAGTATAAAGTATCAAATCACTAGGATCAAACTGCATTTGCAAGAACTGTGCCTTGCGACCAAAATTTTGCATATGAAAACTGAAAATTGAAATAAAGCAAACGATACTATAGTATTAATAATGAGAATTTATGACTATGAAATTCGTTTTTTACATAGTACAGATCAACACTTAATTACAGAGATTAAGTTAAAAGCTAAGAGTTATTAAAAGAATTTAGTTTTTCCTAATCTTTTATGAGAATCTTTAACACGCGCAAGAAACTGTATTCAAATTTTATTACTTGTTGTCTAATCTGGCATATAAATTATTTGTTTCAATAATTTAGATTCTTAAGATAAAAGAGCTGAGGTGCACGTACCACCGTTTGAAATATGAATAGAACATGCTATTAATGAAAAATTGAAACAGAAAGTAAAGAACAACATACTTTACAGAACTGAACAAAAAACTCGGCAGCTTTAAACAATACCGACTACTACTGGAAAAGACGTTGTACAATATCATCCAATATGCGCTGTGAATATCTTCCGCAATAAGTGTTTGACGCAATTTTTCCGTAAACATTACAAGAAATCGCGCAATATTCAACCAGATGCATCGCTGCAAACGAAATTTGCGGTGAAATGTATTCAATTTCCTCTCATTTTAACTGAATATTATAAGCTCGATATAGAAAAATGATTAACTAAACTGATATGTTTTCCTTCAATGAAAATTTGAACAATTTATTTTTTTGATAAAATATGAATTCAGTGCACATTTTCTAACAACTAAAGATGCATGAATTACATTCTTGTTTGCTAATTTATTTTTTAATGCTCCCGTTTGTTTACTTACATATAAAAAGAGCTACTATGTTGACACTTTTCATCATTTATAAATAATGTTCCTTTTCAAATTTATTTCTGTACTTTCTGCTCGAAAAAATTTATTTATTACACCGTCTCTCACATGGAGAGAATATATCTACTTGCACATGTCTAAATCTTTTCAAATACTACTGATGGAAATGAGCACACAATTTTCTGTAACTTGATTTTTTTGAAATAATGTTCGATTTCTTTCTCTTTTTCACCAATATAATGCATATGTCTAATGATTTAATTTAAAAGTACATGAATGTCGATTTTCCAATCCTTCATCGCCTCATCGTTCATGAGCTTGTCAAATACAAGTACTAATCCATTATCAAGAAAACTTTCGAACAATGTTGACTTTTTGTCAGCACCTGCAAGTATATTACCAGATCCTTCATTACCCAATTATTTGACAAAGATAAAGAAGTTTAATGAATGGTACGAAAGCTATATATTCTATCTTTCTGTTTTATTCAGCACAAAGGATTTCAATACTTGTTATACTTCTCAAAGTATATGAAACTGATTTGTACTTTACGAAGTGCGAGACTGTCCTTATTATACTTGAATTTATCTCAGACTGATGTCATAAAATTTATCTATGATTTATTAAACCCAATAAAAATTTCAGCATTAGTAAGTGCAGCTAATTACCTCGTCGTATTAACACAATTGAAATTTCTAGTAACGTTTCAAGCTCTTGATCTGGTAGTACAGGAATCACCCATCTGCAGAATTAGGTCAATTATCATCGCGAGTGAGAAAAATTTGACCTCAATATTACAAAACGAAGAACCATAGAATCCAATCTTACTTGAAAATTTTGATACAAAGATCACAGCAATTAATTTATTAAATGAAAACCTTGCACGATTTATTTGATCATAGAAACGAAACAGCACCCCAGGAGGAAAATCCTCACACTTTTCCCATTTTTTTGGCCTTTCGTTTGCAATAGCATTCAATTCTCCGTAAGTTGTTTGCAAGGCTTTAACGTCGAACATACTAGGCCGTTGAAGAGGACTATCGATGATTGAACTTGATGACCCTACAGTGGATGCTGGAGCTGAGTTTGATAACGCTTTAGCAGCTGGAATGTCTGAAACATTTCATCAATTTTTTTTTAGCTTCTCCCTACTTCATTAGATAACTATTTGTCTAAAAATTTCATTATTCACAATTTGACAAATTGTCATTTTCTTTCATTACTTTTATTGACTCTCAAAACTTTGCAAAATTTGAGAAGTTATTTAAATCCGCATATGACTCAGTCAAATGAAAATCAAGATTGCATTTTTTCTTGCTTCAGTAAAGATGAATGGCTGTTCTAACATTAAAATTAAATTTAAAAAACAATAAGATATTGCTCTATGCAAACAAAACCAATTAATTTTTTGGAGATTAATTGAAGTTAAACCTTACGGAATGGTGGACCAAAAAGAAATACTCTTGCTCTACAGAACAATCCAGAACTTCTCTATGCGCTCACATTCATTTTGTAAAATACAACATGCACTCAAAGTTTAAAAGTCAAGCCAATGAATTAAAATCTTATAGACTATCAAAATAATTTCCAAACTTTCCTTCGTAGATTTTTCAAAATGTAGCCTCAGTGACAATTTTTACTCCTACATTAATAAAAACCAACCAAATAAGGTAACAGAGCAATCCTTAAACTGCCAGAAACATAATCACTATTCTGAATGAACACATCCCAAACAATTCACAGGGAAATTTTGAAATCAGTGATTTTTTTCAAGGCTTATTTCGTAGAACAATAATTTTTTGTAACTTATATATTCATATAACTACATTTAATATCATTTCATTTTTTCCATACCCTCAAAGCCCAAAAGAACTGGTACGTTGGAGACATCAGATAACTCAATATCTTCGTTAAAAAAATCCACATTGTGGCGTTTTGACGGTGTAGAAGCAAATGGTGTTTGTTCGTCATCTTCATCCAATTCAAACTTACTCTGCGGACTTTCAACACTTTCCACTACATCTTCCGTTTCGCTTTTGGAACTAATCGATTCAGTGACTAAGTCCGGGCTTGCTGATGCTTTAACCTGTATTCATTAATTTCTGTCAATAAGGCTCTTATTTTCGCGACATTTTAAGTCTGATTACCGATTTCTTTTCAATGATAATACAAATTAGAACCATAAAGTTCAAAATATTTCGCATTTCATGAAAATAATGCAATTGACTGATATTTGACCAGGAATTTTTTGAATCAAATACAATAGAAAAGAACCCAAATTGATTCATTACAAACATCATGACTCTAAATAGAAAAAATTCTGTGAAAACTGACTCAGCTCTCTAATTAACAAAATACCTGTAAAAGAGAGTTATCATCCTGAGTTGGCATTTCATCAAGCTGTATCCACCACTCTCCATTATCGTCTTCCGATTTAGATGGCCGCATATCACTGCAAAATGGTACATAAAAATAAAATTCTATTTACAGTAAACATTAAACCAAGATAATCATTTTTATCAGTTTTCTTTTATCTCATTCAAATAATCATGAAAATTGATTAGGCTTTCCGCATATGTCACATATTTTACAAAACTAAATTAATGCTAGTAATGACTGATGAATACGCAAATACTTCATCCTGATACAATAAATATCAATTTTATCACGAGAAATTACACTGAGATACATAATAATATAAAACTTTTTATATTGTAATAAAACCTATTACTCTGAAGGATTATAATCAACCCAAATTTTTTCGAAACTGTAAAAAATGAGGATATTTTTAAATCCATTAACTCAAATACCAAAAAAAAAACCCCAAAAGTTATTATTTATGTATGCCTTATATTCTTTTTCCATTTTTACAATTCCAAAAGATAAACATCAAAAAAGAAAACAGTCTACTTCTTAGAACGGCTATAAGATCGAATTGCGTCAGTAAATTCATTGGAATTAAAATTGACCAACATTGAAGGATCAACTGGACTTGAATGCGGCGATGATGACGGTGCAGAACAATGTGAATCACTCGCGTAAAACGCTAAAAAATCTTAGTAGGTTACTTCAATATGGAATTTCTATTACCTCTGATTTATATCTTTTGCTAGTATTTGTAGAGCTTTTTTCTTCATGTTAAAAAGGTATAATGCAAAATTTACTTTAAATAATGAGTAAATTCTCTTCAACTGGGCTCGTTCTCTTGATTTCATACTACCCTTTATTTTTAGTAATGAAACAAACGTTAGAAAAAGAGCTAGCTACAAATCGACTTGTATTTCTGGTGAAACAAAAACTAATTACGCCTTTCAAAAATAAGCTTTTTTTTTTAAAAAAATTGGGATACATACCACGTTTTGAAGCATAACGTCGTTTTTTACTATTATCTGAATCCCATCTTAGTCGTTTCGAATCATCCTCCTGCATTTTTCGATTCAGCTGATCGTCCATATTGGTGTAAATGGCAAATCTCTGTTTTGTGAAAGATATGTATAGACTTATGTACAATAGTAGACGTTTTTACGACCAGTTCTAACTAGCAATCAATGTTTTCCTCGAAACTGAAAATGAATTTCAAGTACAAACTCATCAGTCCGTTATAAATTACGGGAACTCAGAACAAGTGTTTTAACACATAAAAAAGACAAATATTCTCAAAATGTTCAGGAAAATACAGAAATTATCTGCTGAAAAACAGTAACGAAAGTGACAATGTCAGAAACGAAAGTAATAATAATATCAAATCGATCTGCTGAATTAACATTATCAAAAATGAAGAAGACACTAAGCTCTGATATTAGTATATGCGTTGTTATACTCAATAAAAGACAGTTCTAAGTTAGTAATACTATAGTCACAAAATAGTAAAAATAATATAACTACTTTTATTACTTTCATGAAATTTTAAATTTTCAGTCCAAAAGCGAGCAATTATAAGACTAATTAGCGGATTTATATTTCATCATAGAGCTAGCACAATAATTCGAGATAAATCCCAGGGATATTGATAATATTAAAATTCATCAGCATCACATTAAGCCTTTCAATATGAGTATACCTAAGGTGTCAAGTAATGAGTACAAATTCAACGCAGCACTTTTCTCATACATACTCTTTGAAAATATGAACATGTCAATAAACGCCCTCTCATGAGATTAATAATAAAGAAAATAAAGACAACACTGAAGCATTTTATGATCGTCGTTGTAGCTCTCCACCGGTAAAATTACTACTTTTTGAATAAAACTGATTCATTCTGTTCAGAACATCGAGTCGTCATTACAGCTCTATTTTCTTGTTGACTTGGTAAATAGATTTATTTCTCGTGTCTTAAGACTAGCTTTCATTCAATTGGTGCACGTTGCTGTATTAATACAATGGGCGTGTAAGTGTGTTTCATCGATTTGAGGAGCTTTCCGCGTGTGTTAAAAGTACGTGAATGTTTTTGTTAGACTTGAAGGTTTTTAAGTTATCACGTGCGAACGTATGCGAGAGTATGTGAGATTATGCGATGTTTTTTGTGTATATTTGATAGGCCAATATGCCTGCATTTGTGTGATTTGATTGGTATGTGTGCGTGTCTGTATGTATCTGAAGAGGTTACAAATATGTATATATGTGTATATACTTGCATGCATGCATGCACGTATATGTATGTCTTGCAGACACATTGCTTATGTGTCTAATTAATCTGATCACGTGCGTATGCGGGTCAGGCAGCAGATGCATATATGATGTATGTGCTCGACGTGTGTGGATGTGTAGATATATTAGTGCATGACGTGAGCAAAACTGGTTATTTAACATGTTCGTGTCTGTGTACGCAAGCATGGCTATTTGTGCACTTATGAATAGAAGTGCATGCGCGTGTGTTTTGCTGCTTGTGTTGTGTATGCGTTATGCTTTGTCCAGTGTGCACTTTTGCTTCCTCTCTGTATGCCTTACTGTGTGTAAGTGTGCGTGCGTGTGCACCTGGTTGTGCGTGTGCAGGAATGTGTCTGTCGTTTTGTGATATTCAGAATGATTATTTGTAATCTGATTATGCTGAAACTAAATGAAACACTACAATCACAAACTAAGTGCTGTCCTCGTTTCATCAAAGTTATTGTAATAATCTTTTACTATTGATTATTATTCATAATTTTGTCACTGAATGGAGTCATAATAAATTTGAAACAGTTAAAAATATGATACACATACGTAATTCTAATGTTAAACATTTAACGTATAAATTTCTAATACTTTACTCACAAACTAGTAATACTTATCTTATCCCATGAAGTACGAGTACGTAAGTATGTCTTCTACGTCATACTTACAATTTCAAGAGGAAAAAGTAACGCGTAAGCATTCTGTGACATGAAAATATCTTTTTATCAGCCTTTTGACATTTTCGAATTAATTTTGTTTTTTCTATTCAAAAACTAGCTGATCGATAAAGAACTGTTATCAATTATCACAGAGCTGCCACTAGTTGTGATTTCTTTTTGCTTTAGGTCAAAAATATTGGCTCTTGAATGTATAGTGTTGATTTTTGTATGTTTTCTAGAAAAGGAATTACATAAATCTAAAAAGCCCATAAAACGATCACTTTTTTACGTATGTTGCGTAGCAGCAGTTTCTTGAAAATATAGTTTAAAAATACGTGCAAAAAATATGTATCAATACTTTTAATAAAATTAAATAACATTCGTGTAGATATATCATGCTCATATTTAATTATTCTGGCGTGTAGTTTATGTCGCTTATCTCGCTGGTACATTAGTTTCCGCAAATTTTTACACTATTGATGGATTAGGTACTAACAATTATTGCTAATCACTTTGTCTTCTTTTATCAATTGCGACAAGATTTATGACTCAAGTATAAAATCAGTATAGTTAAGGTAAGTGCATACTAATCAATACGGATTAATAAACATGTCTTTTTTGAAATTAATATACAAAATATGAAACATTATAGTATATTATTGTTTAATTAATTAATTAATTAATTAATTAATTAATAATTGGTTTGTTTAATGATCATTTATTTGCTCATATTTGTGAGAATGAATGAATTTGAATCGACAGTTCCTTGATTCATTGCATAATTTTCACGTTTGCGAGCTCGTTTCTCCATTCGAATTCTTGAAAAAAAAATTATTTCCAGCATATACATGTATACAAGCACCACACCACATCATTAATATTTGCAGCATATGATAATCATTTATTGTGCAATCTTTAAGTGCATTCCAGATTGCATTAAATAACTTGTTTGAAATAGCTTTCAAATGTTTGCTTACAGCCATGTGATAATGTTTTTGCATGTTTATCAGCATTTGATATTGAATATTGATGTATCTAAAGAGAAATCATTATCTTGTTCAGATGCAAACCTGGTGTAATTTGCACTCAAACACATGAGAAAATAAATTAATCCCGTAAGTGCCAGAAATGAAAAAAATAAAGCTCCAATAAATGACCAAATTTGGTTATTTTCTGCTGCACACAATGCTTCTTTCTTGTCTTTGCAAATTATTAAATCCACTTTCTGTAATTATTTTTGTCGTTTAATTTTTATTTCTGCTTTTTAAGTGTAATATGTGAAAAATTAGAGCAAAGTAGAAGTTTGCAAAAGCTATTTTCACCACACACTGAAGTGTAACGAGCTGGAAGGTATTTACAAGTGGGAAAAAATTGATGAAAAAAATGGTATGAATTGTGCTCGAGCGATGGTAATGTTAGTTAATTGAGTTCATTTTTATGTTTTATTCATGAAGGGGAAAAAAATGGAACCTTGTTTTTGATACGGTTAACAATAACTGGTAGTAACACTCTAAAATCCAAACATTTGTCATCAATCATATTACAGAATGAATACACAGCGCTAATAAATGTCATGTAGAATGACGTGAAAACTGCTACGACGGATACGATCATGGACCAAAATATTACTGAAATAATAACCTTTTTGGGACGTGTTAAAAATTTTTGAAAAATAAATGAACAGCGTTTATATGAGAAATTTGCCTCTCATGTTGTTATCAATTTTGAAGTAATTTTCATCGAATAGTACTACTGTTTCTTAACTGAAACATCAGAACTATAAAGTAAAATTGTTATCAAATGTGATTAGGAGATAAGTAATTTGTATGATTAACTGACTTAAAGCACTGAGTACCAATGATAGTGAGCCAAGTAGGCACGGTGATGTAATGATTCGAAATAATAGTGATCGTTCATTTACTATGTTCGATTTTAGATTAGAATGAGCTGATGATGCTAAAAATTATGTTTTTATTTTATTTGACTTTGAAAATAGTTCAAACCATTAAGCTTGATAATAAATTAATGATTTGAATAATTTACCGCATGTAGCAGCAATTCCAACAATCAGAAATGCTATCGCTGATAGAATGAATAAAAATGATACGGCTATAAAAATCCATCGAAACGTGGAAAATGATTCTATTGACACTATCACATTAAGCTGCAAATACCTTAATATGTCTTCAGTAATACTATTACTTTACTGATAGACCAATTTTATTAGCTTATAATTTTTAAGATTATT